CGCCAGGCTTTGAACTCTGCTTCTGGCTTCCGTCAACTGACATAGTTGCCCTTTTGCTCAAACTCGCAGCTCCGGTTCGCACTGAGGAGAGCTCCGCTGGGCGTCTGCTGCTTGCCGCGGCGGGGACGCGTGTGGGGCCACAACCTGGCGCTCCACTTAATTGAGAACCAAGGCAAACCTTCACTTGGGTCCCTGAACTTAAAACGTCTTCCTTCAAAAATAGGGGAATGGAAGGACCTGAGCTCTACCTTTTGTTTGTTGAATTTTGTATTTTGGACACTTACGGAAAGCAAATTGGGAGGAAGGGCTGTCCTCCCTACAAACGTTTCCCTCTCTTAGCAAACCCTCCAGGCCTCAGTTCCACATTTTGCAGTTGACTGCATGAATTTTCATAGGTTGTTCCCTTACTCTCGGGCCCAATCCACACACACTGTTTAGCCGGATAAATGAGAGCACATCCTCTGCCATTTTCAGTCGGTTTGTCTCGGCCGCCCTGCCCCCCTCCTTGGCTGCGGCAGCCGCCAGACTTGATGCTGCGCGCATAAAACTCCGCCTGATCCTCCCGGCCCGAGATCCAGTCCACGTTTGCCAAGTACCATGTGGTCGGGGACGGCGATAAGAACTCTCTTGTGAGGGAGCGAGCGAGACTTTAGTCCGGTTTCCATGTCAACGATTCAGTCCATATTTGCCATCAGGCTTGTCGGTGGCAGAGGCGCTTTCGTGCGGGGAGCGCTGTCCTAGTCCTAGTTCTCCAATCTGCGCCGGGATTCCTGAGCTGCCTGGGTGTGGGGTTAAAAGGCAGGGGCCGTGGGGGAGAAAACTCCACCAAGGGGAGGACCCACAGCCCCAAACCCGGCTCTCGCAGCTCGGGCCAGCCACGTGCCCAGTCCTCCCCTCCCCCTCTTCCTGCTGCCATGGCCCCTAGGGAAAGCTGATGGGCCAGTTTCTAAGAAAGTTCCCGTCAACTCGGCAGTCCCTGGGATAGTGGTATGGGGCTCTAAAGGTAGGGGTGGAAGAGGACCCTAAAGAATTTGAGTTAAATAAATAAATAAATAAATATATAATATAAATATAATATATGTATATATTTAAGTGAGAAAGGAGAAATCCCACATTACTTCCTCCAACCCAGGTGAATAGATTTTTGTGCACTTTATTGTTAGGTAAAAATGGTGGCTGTTTTCAAAACAGCGTGCCCACGTGTCAGAAAGGGATTTGGCACTTTCCAAATTTCACAGCCCTTGAAGAAAGGGGATGAGGGCTTCCTCTGGAGACAAATTCTGGCTTCCAGATTTTCACTGGGCTCCAGGTTTCTCATTACACTCCAGCTCTGAGGAAAATGGCAGGGTAATTGCATGTAAAAAATTCCTCATTTGCGTGCAGGACTCAGGACTGTTTGCCAGCTCAGAGGCAGTTGATTAAATAGCCAAGCTCCATTTATGAGGCAGCCTATAATTTGGTTTCTAGGACCTAATGCACCGGGAGAGTTGCTGCCCCTGAAGACTGTTAGTGAAAGGAGGGCACTGGTCCATTCCAGTCAGTTAGATCCTTGTAGGCTGGTTTGGTTCTTGGCTTGGAGAGAAGAAAACAAAACAAAACAAAACACCATTCTTAGAGTAATAGGAAGGTTTTGCTTTTTTTGTGTAAGATGCTTTTAGGTCTCCTTGGAAGTAGGAATAAGTTTCAGGTTTTTGGAATTATTCACAGTGACCAGTGGCATGGTCAAATCTCTGGGGGCCTGTAGAATCTGGAAGTTCTAAGATAATGGTTCTGTGGCCATGAAGTCTCCACTTACAAAGTCTGAGAGGAAAAAAGGCCCTGGTGTCTAGTGACTAGCTGGCCTAGCCTCTCCTAAGGCAGCTGTAGGCTTGGTGAAGAGCTGAAATCCCCTCTGGCTTTTGTAGCTTGTCATGTTAGAGCATTCCAAGTCAGCCAGAGGATGAGAAGGCTGCTGCTGGGATTTGGTGGGGCTTGTGGATTGGAGTTTTCTGTGTATGCTTCCAACTTAGTCAGCATCTCTTAGAATGCAATGGTAAATTTTGAAGAATCTTTACAGTGGAGGATAGAAAACAAATTTGGGTTGCATGTTTTGTTTTGTTTTGTTTTTTTGAGTGACGTGCTACACTGCGCCTTTTCTCTAAGGAGAAAATGTTTCCTTCCATTTGGCCATCCTTGTTCTGCAGTGATTCCTTTCTTTGAACACTCAGGTTCCTCCAGTCCCTGGAGCCTCTTCTGTGGTCAGTTTACAGTCTTCTAAGTACTATCTTTGGAGACTGGGGCTCTTGGTCATGGTGAGCAAAGGTGGGGATTGTGCATTCCTGCTAGAAGGCTGTCATATACCCTCAAAGTAGCTTCAGTGGTGACCATTTTAAGTCAGTGTTGAGATAACCAGCTTTGATCTCAAACCTATTCTGATATTTTGATCCCATTGGTGGATATGGCACAACTTAACCATTTTTCTTTTTTAATGCTAAGTAGACAGGGGTATTTTGGGGGACTCTGCCACTTTTCAAAGCCACCCTCCTCTGCCCTCAGACTTTAAGTGACAGGGCAGTCCCCTACACTTTGTCTTAAAATTCTGTAAAATGGGGAGAGTGGACCTCATGCCCCCAGGGCCTGTTGAGCACCAGCTAATGAGGTCAGGGAAGTGGGAAAACAAAGTCTGAAACAATGATCTGTCATCCCTTGTAGCTTACAAAGGGGATAAAATGTAAGGCTCAGTTGAGTCCTTAGAGCGCGTTTGTAAAAGGCTTTGAAGAAGAAAAGTGCTGTAGCGGTGCTAAGTAGCAGCCAAGAGACCAGGCCCGCTGCCAGGGGTGTCAGGCCTGGGCCGTGGCGGCCGCGGTCTCGGGCTCAGGCCAATTTTGCAGCCGCGAGTAAAGTTCACGCTGCCCTCTCCCTTCGGAGCCGCCTGAAGGGGACCGACCCGGAGAGGAACGCTGGGAGGGAGGCGGCGCAGGATCCGGAGAGGCGGGAGCTCCGGGCCAGGTTTTCCCCGAAGCCTTCGGCGGTGGCGCTGCCGAGCGAAAGCGGCAGAGGGCCTGCCGCCGCCGCGGCTCGTTCTCTCCCCTCCTCCTTTGTGAGGGGAAGGGAGCGAGTCCGTTCCACGGCCTGCGCCCGCTCCGCGCTCCGTTCCGGGTTTGCCAGGCGGCCGCGACGGCGCTGGGTAAAATGGCAGTGCTGAGCCTCGTGTCGGAGTGAGGGGGACTCGGAGGAGAGTGGGGCGCTCTAGCCGCTCAGTCCGGCCG